CGCTATGGATACCAGAGTATATTATATATACTGTACATGACTGATTATGCAATGGATATGAACAGTAAGTTTATATATATTAAGTAATGCATAACGATTTTTTTCACAGTAACTTGATATGCTTGTTTTTCAGATGTTGCAGTATACATCAAGAAAATGCGTCTATCAAATAAAAAGTCATGCTTTCTTGGGTTTGATGTTATAGTGTTATCTACCTTAGCTTGTTGTGTCTGGTGAATTCCATTCCATGGCCATTATACAAACGTTGTATACCAAAATAAATCCTTCCTTGATGTACAACTCAAATCGAGTCTAGACCAACTCTTCTCAGTTCTAATAAAAAGTTGATAGCTAAAAGTTAATTTATAGTATGATAAAACAAACAAGAGCCAAATATAACCTGCGTATTATCTATGGATAATAAATCGCTTACTATAGACAGGATGTGCAAAAAAGTGATTATTTCTTTATTGTGTGTTATATGTTCAATATAAAGATTCTTCGTATTTCGCTGTCGTTTGTGTTCGGGATTGTTTCAGCGTTCTTGAAGCAAATTAAAGTCATGTTCGCAAAGCCGGAATTTTAGATGCATTTGTGCTTGACATCACTCATGTTAAAATTGTTTTATATTATTTCATAAGGATCTTCTTCAGTATTAATTGCCTTTGTGTATGTATAGAATTTTTCTACGTTGACTTAGCTCGGATTTTAGTACATCATATAACATAGATAACTTTTTTCAAACTGACTTATATCTAGGTCTGTCTATGGTATTAAACTAATTATTCATAGCAGCGAAGACATATTGTTGTTGTTGGATGAAATATCCACTTTCCTTATCGCTATTGATATTCAAAGATTTAGATAAATTACTTGTTTAATAGATCCCCGAAAGAATTAAAACAGATGATAATTGTTTCAGGTAAATTTACGTCATAATTGTCAATCTGTTGTTGTTCATGAAATCTTTATCAGATAAGCCATTGCCCCAAAATAATGAACAATGAGTTTGTTATAAACGAAAATGTTACCTATCTACTTAATGATAGCCGCTCTCGAAAAAGTTTATCAACGAATCATTAAAAACGTCATGCAAAAACAGTTTGCATGTGAGGTTCATAATATCGGTAGACAATAGTACACCGTGGATTAAACACGAACGTGCTTCGTTTTCCTTCGGTCCGTCTTTGTAAAAGAATTTTAAAAGAATAAATAGTTTCATCAATTTTTTCTTTCTTTTTTTTTACGTTTTCTTCGTTGAGTTAGTGGGAAGATACAGAAGACGAAATCATAAAAATGAGCAAGTTTCTGGTTGCAATCATTATCGATGAGTTTGGCGGTAAGATCTTCCGACAGACTTTTGGCACACCTCCGCCCCTCTGTTGGCTGACTTGTTTTTTGTTTTCAAAAAATGTTGACTTTATCGAAGAACTTATCAAATCTGGTCACAAAGACCTTGCAAAGTCGTTTAATTTCACTTTCAGATATGTTGATTACGTCTTGTCTTTAAATGACAATAATTATATAGGCAACGTCCGTTGTATTTACCCACTAGAATTGGAAATCAAGGATACGATAGACTCTTTTACATCAGCTCCTTATCTCGATCTTTTCCTACAACAAAACCAACATGGTCAGCTTTCCACCAAACTAAATGGTAACTGTGATGATTTCATTTTCCTTATTGTGGATTAAACATTTCTGGATAGCAACATTCCTGCATTCTTAACCTATGGTGTTTACATGTCACAGTGAATTCGATAATCAAGGACCAGTTCCCATTATCACAATTAAATTGACGGACAATTTCGAAGCACATGGTTTCAAAAGTTACAGATTATATAGAAGTCTTACGATCGTCATTAAAATATATTTCTTAGTGCGATATAAAGCTGGACGTGTTTGATGCTCGGTAGTTTGCCTGTTGGTTCTATTGTTGCATAATTTGTTCTCATTCGAAAATATGACACTACTTACTCGGATGATCAAGGTTTTTACATTATTGTACCTGGCGGATGTCGTCGGTGAAGCAGAAGACGCTAACACCTGGTTTTATTCTCCTTGTACTTTTCTGGTGTCTCTTCCGTGTAATTCTTTCTTTCGCTCATATTTGTCATAGTGTTATTGAATCCAAGTTTGGATTATTATTATATAGACCTTTTGATATTTCATTTAAGGGGTTGGAGGTGGGGGTTGGGGTTGATTCCAACAGACTATGGGCATACACCAAGGGAACTGAACCGAGTGTGTCACTTTCTCGGCTGTCATATAAGACATTGGTGCCTTGTCCTCTAGTATCAAGCAATTTTATTGCATATCCATCAGATGGTCTTTCCAAATCCAGAAATAAAGAGAGAGCAGACTGTCATGCAACTCCTTACCTCGATCGTAGCCATCATTGACTAATTTTCACTGATTTTAACGAATTAGAATTTCATTTGAAAATCCGTTTCTAAATTTGATACCCTCGCTTTCTTGCTGTCTCCATGGGCCTTTTGAGAATTATTGTTCTAGCGAATATAGACAACATAATATCTCTATAGTATTACAAGAGTAAAAGCTGATCAACAGACGTAAGTATATACCGAGTATTCTAGTGTAGGCTTAAATTGATGATAAGTATCTTCTTTTATATTTAGAATAGTCTAACATATGTTTCAAAATCTGCTTTGTACGTGGTTATATTACGCCTAAGATTATACAAAAAAGAACAAGGGAATGTCAATCGAAATGATTAATGGATTGGCAGGAAGTGTTTAAAGCAATAATAACACTTCGGCGTCTTTTCTCGGCCGCAACAAGTTTCTGTGACATCTAGATGAAGACCCTAAAAGTTAACCATAATTTCATCAAAATGCATTGTTTAAAATCCTATGTTGAAATACATTCGTTGGGACAGAGAGGGGAAAAGTGTGGCTATGGTTTCAAGGAGGAAAGATATAAATTGTACAACAACAAAACATGTTTTATAATAGGTACGACTTTTAAATAAACACCATATCATGCTTGGATCACTCCTTCGCTGATTTTATTTTTTTTTTCTCTAAATATCATTATTCCTTTAATCAAACGGAATGAATTACCGTGGAATTCTCTTATATATCGCTAGTTCCCGATATTAAAAGTTTCATTATACCGTTTTGACGCATTTTTTTGTTTTTGTTTTTTATTTTTGTTTTTGTTTTTGTGCTTTTACTGTAGATAATTATTTAAAAAAAAACGCGCTTGTGACAATATTGATAAAATCCATTCCTCGGATTACAACCATGTCACCTTTTAAACAACTTAATGTTTTATCTTTGAAACTTATTTTCACAATACGTTGGTTCAGATAAATGTGAAGGTTCAGTGGTTGTCTCCCTTGTAGTTTCTTTAATTTAATTATGTTAAACGTGTCATGGATGTGTTTTCACGACGATATCGTAAAACATGGAAATATAATAATCAGATGTTTAATCAAGATCCATGTAAATATTGAAACGTATTCAATTCGTACGGCAGTGAACTGTCACTCGAGCTATTTGATGCTATTCACGGAAAGCCAAAAGATATTCTCTATGTATTTTATCTATGATAATGTGTGATGGCCAAATATTATGCAAGGAAAACAAGTGTGTTTCAAAGAAAAGACAGGGTAGTCAGCGGAACCTCTGCATCTTTTTATACCCAAGAATCCCGGGCTATACATAAAGAATGCATGTAAATTATCTATAATATCATGAAGAACCTTCTTAAGACATTTATGAGTTTTTATTTACAGAACGTGAAATGAAAATTGACATTAAACATTTATCATTTGAAAGTTATAAATGGAACCCATATCGCGAAAATCGTCTTTGAAAATATCTTTCAAGAAAGAAGAATGTACAACCTATTCAGGTAAAATAACACAGGTGAAAATGCAGTAAATGCTCAAGTTGTGCTGCTACCTTATACAGTATACATATTTTGTATATATCAAGTTACGAGCTTTGTCATACAAAATAATTTGAAAGAAACAAGAGGCGATTGATCGCCTAATAAATTTATAGATTATATTCACTTAAGTAATACTAAATAATGGATACATATATATGTACATGATTATAGTATGTGTCACGTATCCAACAATTGAATGTCTGTACCTGAAACGTATTTCAATTTGGTGTCAAATTACATACATGTGTAAATATTTATATATATATAATATCATATCTTTATATAATAATTCATGTATAAGAAGACATTTTAGCCATATGTCTTACTAAACAGGGAGTCGGAAAAGGAAGAAAAGAGAAAAGATACAAATATGTTTAGAATAAGAGTTTCATTTCATATCTAATTATGTATTTGTCTTTTTTTAAAAACATGCATATTCGCAAATAAACTGAGAACATCATCTTCAAATATAAAGCACTGAACGATTCTTCGATGATATTAGGAAAGTTATCGCAATGATAAAACATAGATAATAATCTATTATTGTAAATGAAATTTCAAAATCAATATTAAAATTGGAAAAGTAAAAACAAACCCTTAGAAATATCAACACCATATTGCTTCAGAAATTATGAAATAATTGTTTTCTTGAGAAAAATATATAGAAATTAGAAAATGAAACACATTGCAACAGAAAACAGTTATACAATGAAATATAAAAGATGTTCTTAATTGAATAATTTGATATTAAAGTGCAGAATATCTTAGTGAGACTTATCGCTCTTGTTAAGGTATAGTCTGGCTTAATAATTAAAACGCATCAAAGAATTAAATTGGAGGATTTAGAATTTGTCCATCGCGAGTTCGAACATTAATTGCTGTGATGTAAATAAGACAAGATATTGCTATTGAATTACGACTTCAAAAAATTCACCAGTGAGATACCCAAAGATTGCATTCATTATAAAGTTGCTTTACACATTACTGGTAAATCGCTTATTTACAAATGCCATACAAATTAGAATGTACTTTAGAGTCCACTATGTTTTGTCTTGGATGACACCTATAAGGGCATTTATGATTCAAAGTTGCTGAATTTTTGAAAATATTTCATTCATCCGAAAGCACATGTTTCTCATCTCGGTGTAGCCATGAGGTACTACCTCAGTTTGCATGTTTTCGTCAAGGTGCAGTAGAATATTTTTGTGTTCTTCGATTAACGTTCCAACTGTGTCCATATCTTCATTCATCTTGTCGTTAAAGCTTTCAAATATGATATACTTAAGCCTAAATTCACTATACTCCTCTCGGAGAACTTTTCCGGTCCACTTTTCTAAATGTTCCTTTCTATTATTCCTGTAACGTAGAATCTTCATTTTTCCTCTTGCAAAATCAACTGCTGCCGCAACAGGAAGAACCGTGACTAGCCCTGCGAGTCCCAATGGAATCCAAAGAGGCGATGTGAGTGCTATCGTAGCGATGGCCGCTTTATTCAATCCTTCGTCCTGTACATCAGGCGTTTGCCGAGTTTCCCTGTCTAATCCTTGGATCTTCACTCGATCGTCAGTACTTTTCAGAAGGCGTTCTATTTTTTCTTGATTGTCCTTGATCTCAATCATGAATTCTGCCAACTTGCTTTCTAGACTTTCAATTGCTGACTGAGACATTGCAGTGCGTGAAAAAATAGCTTCTGATATAAATTTTCGAATGACAACGCGAGCCTCCGCTTTAACTTTAGAATAGTCGTTTCCATTAGGCATGCCATTGCTTTTCCACTGAAAAATCGCTTTTCTGTTTTCAACATCGTTGAGATACCCATAGACATCCTGTACTATGCCTGTTTGGATATCACCAGCAAGGTCTTTAACTCTTTGTTTACCCTAAGATTGAATACATAAAATTGTAAAAAAAAATTTTTAAAGATATTTGTAAGTTGAATTTAGATTTTTGTTACTGAGATTGAAAATTAATTGTTGAATTAACTGCTGCCCAGGTTTCGCATTAGTATCACAGTGCTTTTGTTAATATGAGGAAATCTCAGCCACATGGTCATTCATTTTGTCAAAACATTATTATCACAAATTCAATTTCATTTCAATGATATCGTAATTGAAATTGAGGAGTGTTGCTCACCATTGAAGTTGATGTACATTGTTGCATTTTTTCATTTGTGTTAAATGGATTTTTATATGAACTGCAAAGCTATTGACACATTTGACTTTTTCATTAATTTATCTGAACATAGTCTATAACATTTATGCAAGTCTTTAATGTAATGTTTGTTGTAAAAAGGATACATTTTTTAAAATTGCGCAGAATCTTCCGATATGTTCATAATGGAGGAATCTCAAGCTTCTTTTCATTGGAAAGTTATATTTTGTGCTGTGAAATGGTCACCTTTAATTAAATGTGCTTGAACAAGGATTACAAAGCTCTCCCAAAAACACAATATGATGAACAAATTAAGTAAACACGGAACTAGGTAAAAGTCAAATAAAGGCTTTAGTGTGCGTCTTTGTCAAAATGTTATAGCATTTATCGAGATTTCTTGACAATTGTTTTTTCTAAGTTAGGTGTATAACGAGGGTGGAAATTATCATTTATATGAGAAACATTGGTTATGTAATCATGTAATTACTATCAATTACATTTACACACGACATGCAACAGACATTTGAAATGGTTTCAGTTATAAATACAGGTTTATAAATTTAGTTTATAAATTTTAAATTAATATAAGTTTATAAATAGACAGAAGATGTGAAAAAGACATCATTCAGTTTGTGAATTATTCAACTTTTACAACTAAGATATTAGTCTTACAAAATAATAGGCTGAAAAGAACATGCTTTGTGCACTTTTTGTTTGCAGAGTTAGTGAACTAAAACTATATATCTATCTACAGGAGAAGGACCGAAAACAAAGGTGTTTGTATGCCTTCATAAATACCTTCTTGTATGTAGATTCCAGTTCACAGACCAAAGTCTTCAGGCTCTCCATTTTCTTATGTTTATCTTCCACGGATAAGGCAAAAAAGTTTATCGAAGCATCCGTGAAGGTTTTCATATGTTCTAAAACTTTCTCTAAGTACCTTCGAAAGAAAGAGTATGAGTAGTACGTATTTGTTTTATCAGTTTGTCAATATGTAGCCAAGAACACAAGAAATAATTGTATATGGATAGTCATTTTCACATGCCTTTTAAATTTTAGAACTGAATAATAAATATATCAATAGCAATACCTTATTTTATGATAAAATATCAAAAACGATCAGTCATGAATTAGTTTCCACCATGTGCTGTAGAGCGCACAAACTGATTGATTTTGGCATTTCACCTACAATGACTTTATAACATCTACAATACATAAAAGAAATAAGCTGCCAAATAAGTGTTAGTATAAACACTGTCATTCTTTATATTCAGATTCTGAACCACAGTAATTTTTGTCACACACGTAGCCACATGGAATAAATACCTTCTATGTACTATCGACCTTGCATTTGCACAGCTTTCGACTGTATCACGAATTTTGTCAAGAACAGCTTTGTAATCTGTTATGACAGATTTGTAAGAATCCTGATAACTTTTGTTGTCTTGTGCATCTAGAACCTGAAAATGTTTCTTTGTTTGATTAATTTTAAGGTCTATGTAATGGAATTTGGTTGTGTGGAAATGTAACTCCAATGTGTTTCTAAATAATTATATCATACAACATCACGTTTCTAACGTTTATGATTTCTTGGTGTATAAATATTTGTGACTGATGGTCATAAATCATGACCAACCAAACAAGAAAATTTTAACATTTCATCACAATCATAATCTAAAAATTCAAGCTTCATATCACACAAAGAAATGAAATAAATTTAAAGGAGATCACTATGACGACCGTAAAGCTTCCTATAAATTTTATCGACCAGCATCTTTTGAAATCATATTCTGCGTCTATCACTTAATGAAGGATTTTTATAACTTCTAAATGTAGTTGACTGTAAGTGTCTGATAAATCAGGATTTCGTCATATGTAAGATATTTTGGATTTGTCTTCGAGATTTGGACATGTACGACAACATATCTTTTCAAAGTAACATTCAACCAAAATGTTGATAAGATAAAAAGACTCTTGCAAATCGTCTGATAGATAAAATGGACATACATATAAATTATTATTTCACCTACACAGGAAACGCTAAGCTGTTGCAGCTGATCTTCTCGGAACTCTGGCCAAAATGTCTCAAGTCTTTGTATGATCTTCATCCGATGATTATTTCTTTCTTTTACTGAAATCTGATCCCATTTGTTGGCGATGAAAACGACTCTGCTGGGGTCAAACGCTGGAAGTTTACGATCGTTAACCAGTTGTTTGATTTCATCCAGTATCAATGCACCCTGTGAATAGGTCGGAGACATATATAGGTGTATCGTTGCTAGGGTTTACGTTATATTCTTGTCTATGTCATTTCAGTGTTATGGCAAATAACGTAATTTGTCAAATGCTGACAAAATCTATACAACATTATACATAAATATAGAAATCAACCTACATAATATTTTCCAGACACTAAAGAACAAAGAAAACAACAATTTATAACGATGTATCGAATGAATCACAGTTTTATATCATACATTCATCTAAACACGACCAAATCAGAACATTAACAATCTATATTCTATCATTTTATCAAACTTAAAAGATTCTAAGAACATTCTACAATACCTAAAAATAATAATCAGACATCTTTGAATTATATAACAAAAACGTTTGTCACAATATTTCAACAACCCATCTAAAACTATAAATTATTTTACCATTTATGGAAAACAATCGACAGATCGTAGCAATGCATCAGGTCCAAGCGATTATTTATTTACTGGTAATTTTAAAATAATAATTTGGCTATACTCTGTCTATTTCTAAATTTCTAATATTCAAGTTGTTTACTTGTGTAACTTTCAAACAATTTTTAATTTGTGTTATAAAATTTCATGGTTACATGTCAGTTTATAATCAACACGGGTCATAGGCAGACCAATCACTTTAAATGCAGTCCTGTCTTCGCTTACATTGAATGTAATCGTCAAAATGATAAAGCACCAGGTCATTTTACAGTTCAATTCACCGTTATTATCTAATAATTAGTAAACTAATACGACAAGTCTAATATGTTAATCAAATCACTGTTTTTCTACACGACCTTAGCAGAAGACAGCAAATGTAAAATTAGTGTTTTTTCTGACGGAAAAAAGTCCACGATTACACCGACAAAAGCAGAACAAGATATGACATCCTCCTGACGTACGGCCATGAGGATTAGCATACTGACCCTGTCGTCGGCAATCCCGAGGGAAACTGTCGAGTTGAGAATGAAGATGATCCCTAGAGCATTTGGTAGGTACTTCAGCAGTGATTTTGTAACTTTCTCACTTTCACCAAATCCTGGTGTATCCACTAAATGTACATTTCCCTGTAATGATTTTCCATATCTAAGTAGTATTCCATACATAAGTAGTATCGGTTAGAATGTATTATGTTATAATCAGTACTGATTTCGAAATAACATTTTATGATTATTAACCTATATCAAACTATTTAAAATAATACCTCTAATATAGTACTAGGCACAAAGATATCGATACATCTGTCGAGGGACTCCTCACAATTTTCTTGATTCACCAAATTTTCTAATGTCTGCTGAAATTTCTCATCTGTGATGCCATCACCGCTGATGACCTGGACATTGTTTGGTGTAGAATCATCAAAGGAGCTGACACGGGCTTCAAGTTTTTCTCCTTTCTTAATGGAACATACGCAGTGGGTACATGGAGCCGCTAGTTCCGGAAGGATCTTTCTTCCAATCAGTAAGTTCAAGAAGCTGCTCTTTCCAGCGCTGGTTTCTCCTTGAAAATCAGATATTTGTGATGATGATGATGATAATGATGATGATGATGATGATGATGATGATGATGATGATGATGATGATGATGATGATGATATAAGTTCATAGCCGAAATTTTAAACATTTTTCGTCACAAAAGAAATAACGTTTTTTACTTATGTTATCAATGAGGATTGTAATTACCTGATTTATCAAATTTTTCACTTATGATTGTTATATGATCATCAGGAAAGAAGACGACAATATGAAAATATTAGGACATATCTGTACAAAGCTACAGGAATATTACTGACAATATAGAAGCAGAGTCAAATAAAGATGAAACAGCCACCACACGAACAGAAACACTGAAAAAAGTGGTTTTATTTCTTTATTCAGACCCACCACCTAAACAAAAAATGAGTCCTCTTTAGCAGCAGTTTATACTGAACTTTGTATTTTTTACCCAGGGATGTTTCAAACCAAAGTTTAACAATATTCAATCATTTTTACAGAAGTAGACATATTTTAAAGATTTTACTTCATTTCTCCTTTTGAGCCCCGTCTTTTCGGGCCCCATGGGTCAGTCCCACTATTAATACTAAATTTACTCTCTTTCCCCAATGATCATTTTGCTCGGAAGTACATGACGAGTAACGATTTTAGAAGACAAAAAACGGATGGACAAAGGATGCCACACCATCATATAAGCTCAACGTTTGCTCGGGCCAGGTGAGTAAATAACACTTACCAATTACGAGAATTGGGCGATCGGTCTTTTTCAGATCGACAAGACCTTGTTTTACACTCTCAAAGAACTTTGAATCAAACTTGAGGATGTTTTCTCTTACTAATAAACTATCTTCTGCACATGTTCGGACCTCGTTATAAACATCAACAAGCAGTTTGCAATCTTTATCATCTTTCTCCAGTAGTTGTGTTAAGGTTGATTGAAACTGGAACAAACAACAAAAGTAGCATACTGTATTATTTTTTATGATGAAGACCATCATCAAAATGGCTTGTTTGGATACAGTGTGTTACACTCCACTTATGACTGAAAAATACCATATTTTAAGAACTTAAGTAGACTTTCTTGCCAATTTTATTTAAGTTAAAAACTTTATGTGCTTTCAGTGATATAAGAATCATAAAATTATTTGTAGGGGAATATTACAAAGGATTTCTCAAATAATTCCATCTTTTACCGACAAAACCGTTAATATATATTTTAGTGTTGGAATCACCTGATGATTTCTACACAATCCATATAAGTAACAAATCAAAGTAAGTGCAGAATAATGACATGTGTATGTTATCTTTTCCAAAGTTTGAATCTAGCCTCAGAGCAGTATGATCTTTCTGTCGTCTTACCATTCATTCATGCTCTTGTTCTTTGGGTTATCAATGCTCAAATGAAAAATACAATAAGGGAACTAGAAGAAATAACTGACATTTTAAAACAGCATACTCACCTGAGTTTTTGTTATGACTACCTGGGCCATGGTCAGGGTTTAAAATATCCACAACTGCAAAAATATACGAGTCAATAATGAATATGGTAGTATAGAAACCAGGATAAGTAAACTTTTAGATGATCCTGAACAAGACAACCTCCCATTTATAATAAAATGATACTAAACCATTGTATGGCATCAGGACAAAACGATTCTTAAAATCTGAAATATACTATGCAACTTAGTTTCTTTAAAAGTCAGCGAATGAAAACAAAATATTGACCTATTTTCAGCATATACGTATTTTTGAGCTGTGCTTGTTTTCCAGTTATAGGGTGACGTTGTGTATGTTTTCATCAGATACCAAGGTTCCGTTATATACACACTGAGTAGAAATGGAAATAGATCATGATATAATTCTTGAATGTTCAGTCATCAAAATATGATGTTTCCGGATTCTAATGAAATTGAAAAGAGTAGTCGTATATCGTTATAGTTAATAGTGATACGCTGGAGTAGACACAAACAGTGTACAAACGACCAACAATCTACACACTTAAGTCCCCGACAAGGGTATTTCCCAAACTATTTTTTAAGGTAAATCAGCAAAATTGTAATTATTCAGTGATTATATGGACATGTTGATATTTATAAATGTAAATGATCATGTACATTTTTTTCTCCCAGGGTTGAAGAGCCCTAGGTCTAGCCCCTACTCAATAAGTTGTCCTCTCGTAGGCGGGCTTGCATGCATCACTCATTTGCAAACATCACATTTTAAATTAAATAATTAGAAATCATATTCCTAATGCATTATTTAGAAATATATATGTTAAAAAGGCAAGCGTTTTCTATTTTTTAATTAAAGGTTACGTGTTCAATGGTGTTAAGTGTATATATATACTGAGCCTGAGAACGTCACCCCTTCACACCGCTCATGTTTCACGTTGACAGAAGATGTAAATGGTGGTAACTGAAGGTTCCCCATACCATCAAGCTGCCACCACCCCATCTGTTAGTCTGCAGGACACAACAATCAGCGGCGACGCCACACACGAATGCTGCCATCAACATGGGAAAGATGGAATCAAGTCTGAGAAGGGAACTCGTCACCAGTCAACAAGACGCCATCGTTTTGATGCCTTGTCCATGGAAGACGTTGCTGTCGATGGCGCTGTTTGAGAACAGGCCCTATGGAAGGACGTCGGCAGTCAATGCCACCTTCACGTGGGCGACGCCGGAAGGTCTCGGCGGACACTGGGCGTATTCTAACTCTAATGGCAGCTGCTGTACTGGTTGCAGGCTGGGTCCGTTTACGACGTCGAGTTACCCGGATGTAGCGATCTTGGGCCTGAGTTGTCACCCTTCGTCTCCCCGTACGGGGACAATCAGAGATAGAACCCGTACCTTGGAAGCGTCCAGCAAGCCTTATGATAGTGCTAACATGACATTCTAAGCGCCTGACTACCATAGTGGCAGGGGTACCCACCTGCAAAATCCCAAGAGCCATTCCCCTCTGCAATTGTGTTTCATGAGCATTTCCGCGCTACCTTCATGAATGTTTTTGGGAACGACCACTTTATAATGGACAAGTCTCGGTAAAAACTCACTTGTATTGGCAACACCCGTGATTGCACGTGCATAATTCACTATTTTACGCATTGGGCATGTGTCGGTGTGAACAGTGTCGGGAGTAAACAAAAAGCACGCCATTTCACCATTTGCACTCACAACTTAATATTATTGATATTAACAGTAGTATACAAAAGGTAACAACTAAACTTTTAACGTGAAAATGAATTTGCCTTTTTATGGGATTCAGTATATATGTAAAAGTTTTGTAAAATAAAAAAAAATGACAAGGCATTTAAGATATTTGTAATGTAAATGACCTATATATATTGATGGTTTTGCATTCAAAATCAAAATGTGTAAGGTAGATAATATGACATAAGGACAATATGGTAAAGCTGAAATCACTAATGGATATATTTGTGAATATATATATGAGGTTTTACGTTTTCAAAATTCTGTTTTTGTAACAGTGTTATACTTAATTTATGGTTATATTGGTGTTTGATTAATTAGTTCTGAAGTTCAAGTACTGATGTATAATACAAAGCAGCTATGTTCTCTACAAACCTGGTTTATTCTAAGTAAAACAGCATATAAACGAAAAAAACACAGTGGATTCCTGTTATCTTAATTATGAAAAGTAATAAACTGCACTACTGTATACCAACTGATTAACATTTGAATTAAAACAAAACTCAAATTCAGCATCCAAGTGACAATACAGTCATACAGAATCAAAATCTATTACATAAGTGTTCAGAAATATGTAGTCTTACATTGTTACAATATGGCAAGACCTAACAGGAGCACAACTATTGGAGTGTCAAAACGAATTAACTGTGTTAAAAGGGGAACCACATCAGACCATGTTATTACAAAGTTTGGAAAAAGGAAATCAGCAAAAAATAACCGAATGCAAGTCAAAGTCAAAGAGATGATTTCTCAGTATGCAGTATGCAGCACTAAATGAGTTTGTTATATCTAGTTCATGAATCCATATACAGAAGTGTAGATATAATGCTCGCTATAGCAAAATTGAGCATGCCTACGCTTTATGGGGAAAAGCACACAAACACGAACACACACACGCACCACAACCGGTTTATGTAACAAACCGAGGTACATTTTGATACGAGTACAGGAGGAAGCAAAGTGAGGTATACCGAAATTAACGATGGGAGTGGAAGAATTTACCTGTCTAAAACTATCGCCAAAGCGTGATCGGTACATAGATTATCACTTATTCTGAAATGTGAAAATTCATACATTGTGAGACACAAATGTGTCATGCCATACATTGGTAAAGAAAAGCTGAGGTACACACACTCAAATCCAACATAATGTAACTGTCATTTCATACAAAAATACAAAATGTGAGATACACGCGACCACATAAGTTTACATAGCAAAGAAAGTGATGATAAAGATATATCTAAAAAAAAAAGGTATTCACTAGAGCTTGATAAGGCCACAATACATAAGGGTAATGTTAATACAATACCTCGCTTCAGCGAATTGTGTTAGCAACACAATGTAGTAACACCAAACTAGTCTTGCGAGATACATAAAAATAACTTCACTTTCACAAAATACTGTCAACACACAGTGTGGTAACACCAGACCAGCCCAGCGAGGTACATGAAAATTACACAACCAGTGAAGCTTACATCCAGATACATAACCAATGGCATCCACAGCCTGATACATACCAGCGAAACTCACAGTTAAATTATAACTTAAGAAACAATCAAGTATGAATGCATGGCAATTGTTTATCGTCTCAACATGATTCCTGCATGAAATTGATATAGATATGGCTACATATAAAAAGCGAATATCGATCAATGGAGTAAACGTAAATTGCAGTGATTTTTGAGATATATTGCAAATTTAAAAAAAACCAGCATACGATAACTCTACAAAACATGTGAAATTAAAAGCGATAAGTAATTCATATGAACTTTATGGCCAAATTTAAACTTTGTGTATATGTCACGTCGTATGTATGTATATGTTGTTGTCTACGTTCGGTATTTTCGTTATCCCTGTCGAGCGACCGTACTTGTGCGTGTGACCAGGTGAGTGGGAGTTCATGGAGGTCGCGTGAATTCCGCAGGCGGTTGTTTACGGGTTATTTACCCGATGTAACCACTACAGGGAGAATATACAGGCACAGATTGCAGACTGTGGTAAGTCTATCTTAATATCTCTTTCTTCGCATTATTGCTTTCTTAGACTTTTTCTTAATAAATATCTTTGATAAACACTCGTTGTTTGTGCGGCTCAGTCATGCGTAGCATTGTTGTTTTTATGTATAAGGCTACACTAGGGTGTCCTTTCTTAGATTGTATCTTAGTATTTGCTAGAAATGTTATTATTGTAGCTGTTTCTATAACTTCTTCCAGTTATTATAAGTTATATGTATTTTATAAGCGTATAGAATACTCAGGTGAGAACGTATGCGTGTTTGAAAAAGTATGGAAGCCGTGAGTTGCCGTATAATGTCTCATACATTGTTTGCTAGATGGTCGTTATGTTATTCTGAGCCCGCATTAGTCGTTCATTATGTTATTACCTTTATAACTCTTCGAAATGTATCATGTACTGTGTAATTTATGAGTATTTCTGGGGATAATTTCATTGATAATAGTAGTTGATTGTGTCATAATAATGTGCAAGTGTTGTATGCGAGTCAATCTTCGTTACTATTCTTTTAATCTTTTCCCACCGGTCATAACGACACCAGCTACCTCATCAAGGCCACGACGGTTTTATCAGTGAGAGTCGGCACCAGGGCCTTAGCAGACAGTAAGGTCAGCCAATCACGGGAACTACAGGTTTGGCATTGGGGTACACGTTCCGAGGAGCATAGCGGTACAGATATGGCATCTATAAATGTGAGCTCTACTCTGCTTGAGATTTCGTGTGGCACGCGGCACAGCGCCAGAGTACTACTGCGGTAGTAGTTCGTCAGTTGTCTGGATAGGAATCCTCTGTCTCCATTGAATCCAGTATTTGGGGGTTTTCTTGAACTTTTCATTCCAAGTGTGAAGAACCGTTGGGGGTGATCAACAGAGACTTTGTGTAACACTGAACTGTAATCTTTTGTGTGAATCTGAGGGAATGTGTGAGTGTGCTTTGCTTACGTTCATGTTGTAAATAAATTGTTAATCTTTATAACGGTATTGTGTTTCATTTTCCTGATAGCTTCTCGCCGCTCGTCCTACGTTACAGTATCAATCTATTAATTTTTGTTGGAACTTCCATGTGATAGAAAATGTACATTATTTAACAGGAGGGGGTCCATGATAGTCAGATTATCAATTAGTACAATCAATTAAGTACACACTGGGCAGTATAGAAACTAATTAAGCTTATCCTAGTATAGCCTAAGGGGCAGGTGGATTTTTCTAAGATGAGCATTTTAAGATATTCATTTAGATGACAGAATGTATTTCATAATTGACATATCA